GGGTGCCAATGGCTTCCTCCCAGTCTGGTCCTGGGGTGTCCAGTGCAGCCTCAGAAATAAGAGGCCAGCGCTGTGTTTTCCCAGGTCTGCCGGACCGCGACAGCCGGAGTCCCTGCAGTCTAGACTTTCACATACTTCCTCCTAAAATTTGTTCCTAACTGCAGATAGGATCTGTGGCAGGAGGGAATCGGTTCTGGCTGGTTGGCTTGTTATTAAGGGCCGGAATGAGGCACAACTTAGTTCAAATCATACAGGCTTCGCAGAACACGGGCCGGAAGCAGTAAGAGAAGCCGGCCGGCTTGACCTGGGAGAGCTCATCGCTCACGGGACAAACACAGGACAGAAACATAAGCAGAGCTTAACAAAAACACGGCATATTAAATAACCGATGGAAGCCGGGGAATTCGATGGAATAGAACAGTAGCCTTTTGACTCCAGTTAAAATACACAAACAGGCAGGGGGTCAACTGGGGGGGTTAGACTGCGATGGGGATGTGAACAGGGGGGGGAGTCGGTGTCAGACTGCGGTGGGGATGTGAACAGGGGGGTGTCAGACTGCGGGGATGTGAACAAGGGGCGGTCAGCTGGGGGGAGGGGTGTCAGACTGTGGTGGGGATGTGAACGAGGAGACCCACCCGGGGGCCGGGTTTTTAATAGCAGCAGGAATCCAGAGAAGGGAGGGCCGACAGCATAAACCAGGGGGTCGGAAGGGGGGGTTAAAAGGGGGCATTTTTTTAACCAGGGAAGATTTTAGCTTAAACGAAAAGCGCTGGAAGGGACAAGAAAAAGCCAGAGTGGGAAAGAGAGTGTTTAGCGGGGACGTCTGATCTCGGGACAGTCGACCAGGGTGCAGCGCGGGACCATCCCCCTCAGCCAGGGGGGGTGACTCCATTGGCAGGGAGTTTAATTAGTCTCGTTACTGGGTTACAACACCAGAGGAAGGTAAAGAGAGAGAAAGTCTGGCTTCCATGGGAAAAAGATGTATCGTGAGAGGAGGCCAATAAATGAAAAAAAAAATGTGAAATTTTGGCGGGGGTTGTTCGCGGCGCCAAATAAAGCCAGCAGGAAGAGTGGCCTCCCCGGCCGGCATCCCGAGCGCGAGCAGAGGACCGGCACGGACACAGCGACGACCACGCTCCGCCGCGCTCGTCACACCCAGCTGCCTTTTAGTCGGCCTGCTGCTCGTAAAGCATCCTGGGTAAAGTCACCAATCACAGGGTGACGATCGCCCTCCCCGCCAGCATCGCTGGCAGCATGTGGGTGCGGCATGAACAATTAATAGCGGGCTCGGTGCTTCGATGAAACTTGTCCCGTTATTGGATGCCTGCCCGGGGCGGTTCTTGGAGGGGGGGGGCCTGCAAACGGAACCCTTTCCTTATGATGGGACAGCCAACCTCCAGGAAGGGCGCTCCACATACCAAGCACCCGCCGCCCTGAAAATTCTGCGTGTTTATTTAATGACTCTGCAACCGCTCCCCCCCCCCCCCCCCCACGGTGCACACACAAAGGTGCCATGGCGCTGGGGTGTCAAAGAGCCCCCGCTAACCACGAGGATGACAACAAAGAAACTGCTTAAGAACTCAACGTGGGGGGGCAAAGAGAGGGTGCGACAGAGCTGGAGGGGGCTGTGCAGAGATTGAAGGTCCTATGCCCTCCTAAACCTCCTTTTCCTTTTCTCAGTTTATGCCAAGTAGCCGTCGATGTGAGATGATTCGGGGTGGGGGCAGGATCGCGTGCAGAGGCCCAAGCAGGAATCAGCTCGGCGTTTCCAGAACAATGCAGCGGGCAGCATTTTTGGCAGCCTAGACACCCCAGGGCTGGTCTGCACATCTGGCATCCCAGGCATTTACTTGGTGGGCTTGCAAACCCCCACCCCCAACATTTGGTAAAATCAGTGGCATGGGTTTTGAGGCCCAATCGAGCCCCTGGCACGTTGTCATGGAGGACAGCGATTTGGGGATTGACCTCCCCGGTCAGGCTCAGATCCCAGGAAGGGCATTGCTGTTGGACACTTAATCTGCCATATTTGCCCAGCTGTGCAAATGGCGTAAGACTATCACCTTGCACAGATAAGGGGTTTCCGCTGTGCCCTGCCCGTGGCTGTGCCCCCCCCCCCCCTACTGCCAGCTGAGGACTTCTGACCTCATACATGAGGCAAACATCGCTAATGTGTTTACTCTCAGGGCCCGAATGCCTGTACTGCAGAGGCTCAATCCCATAATCCCTAAGGGACATTGCAGCGGGTCTCCACTCTCCTGATTGGGTGAGGCTGCCATGCTGCTCCCAATTGGTTCACAGGCAGGAAGGCCACCCCCACTCCCCAACCCCGAACCCCGTCTCAGTTTGTGCCACCCGGTCCAGACCGCTGGGATCTTTTCCCGAATAATTATCAATCTCCAGTCAGAAAATCTTTCCAGCAGCTGAGACTAAGCGACGGATTTCCGTGGACCGGGGCAGGAATACAGCTGGACCTCACACTGGGTGAGAGAGCTGCAGGGGGCACCATCCCCTTGAAAGGGCTGCGGGGGGGGGGGGGGCAGATCGTGATGGTGGGATGTGTGAATGAAAAAAAAGCAGACAGACGCGGCAGGTGCCGGTGACACCAGGCTTCAGACGCTGAACTTTATTCGCTTTGTGACATAAAAAGGGATACAGAACGATTCGGAATACAGGACCCGTGATCCGCTTTCCTTCCTGGACAGAGGAACCGGCCACTCAGGGGAGACATTTTTAACCAAAACTAGAGCCTGTGGTTTAGCTCCTCAGTGGACTTTGTGGTGGGGTTTGTCAGTACAGCGTGGTGCAGGTCAAGTGGCCCTACGTTTGTGTGTGTGTGTGTGTGTGTACACGCAATTTATCTAATCTCATAACACTATCAAGCCTTTGGAGAACGACGATGGCTTAGATTTAAATAACCCTTAATAAAACAGCAGGATAAGCTCATGGGAGTTTTACTTAGACAAAAATGTTGTGAGGGCAGAAGGAAAAATGATTGGTTCCAAGAGACAGCCAGTCAGATTGTAGAGGAGGTGGGTCCAACCAAGTACTGTCTTGTCTAGTTTCTTGGGCTCACCTCCTCTACAATCTGATTGGTTATCCCTCTGAGCCAATCATTTTTCTTTCTGCCCTCAGAACATTTTTGTCTAAGTAAAACTCCCACAAGCGCAGGCTAAAAGCAGGAGCTCCTAGGAGAACGAACCCTGACCGAAGCCTAAACCCAAGCATGTGGGCAGCACCCCTCTCCCGCCACTGGGGTCATGTGACTGAGGGCTGCGTGTTTGGGTCGCTGGGTCACCCTCGAATATTAACGGCACGTGATAAACCAAGGAAAGTCGGCGGCGAAAGGTGAGGCGGGAAAAGGGCAGACAGAGGATCAGTCGCCCACCACGGCCTCCGACAGTGACGGCGGTGTCGCTGACAGCCCCCCCATTGCTCCTCAGACTCACTCTCGTAGTGTGAAAGAAGCTACACGAGATCACAGGTCCAATTGCCCATACGAAATAAATATGCAGCAAATGAAGAATTTAAGCCAGGAAGCAGGCGACCCCCCGCCCCCCCACCCAAAAAAACCCCCAGTCCCCCTCCCGCGCAGCTGCCCCTTGCCCCCGTCACACGGTCAGGGAGATGAAGCTGTTGTATCTCTGGATGTTCCTCTTCAGGATCTCGGAGCAGGGCCCCAGCACGCGCTCGAATCGTGGTCGGTCCAGCTTGACACACTTCAGCGGTCCGCGTGCCACTACTGTGGCCGCCCGCGGCCTGTTCAGCAGCAGGGCAATCTCTCCTGGTGAGGGACACAGGGAATTGTGGATCATTTCAGCTGAGGGTTAATGGCTGATTAGAGGACAACAACAAGTAAGCAGGCTGAATTTCTACAGCTTGGAGCAGGCGGCCTGCTGAGAAAGGAGGAATGTGCTGTGCACCCTGTGAGGGCGCGGCTTGGCAGAAGTCAGGCCTCATTAGCCCCGACCTCTGCAGGTGTGGGACATGGAGAAACGATTGAATCTACTGACCGAAGTAGTCGGAGGGTCCAAGACGGCCCACCTCCACGTACTCCTCATTGTCGGAACGGCGCTGGAGCACAGAGGCTGTGCCCTGGGCAGAAGCGGAGAGAAAAAGAGAGAGACATGTAGGAAGGGCTTCTAGAAACATCTGTGGCATTAGTGTTGAGAAGCAAAGATACATTGGGCCCTGAGCATGTAGCCTGCATAGGACACGCACTGGTGTGAATAAGGGCTCTACCACAGGTTCACACCTCTGGTCACCGCGTCGGCCTCTAAACATCTCGGGGAAGCGGATGAAGGCAGGGATTTCCCTGCGGGTATCCTCCTCACGACCTCGCAGACAGACAGGTAGGCCGTCTCAGGGAGCTTCCCGAGGGTAACCGCCTCACAACCTCGCAGACAGATAGACAGGCCTGCCAGACTCCGCCCTGCTAGCACTCCATGACCAATGGGAGGGGGGAGGCTGGCACTTCCACTGATTAGTTTATGAAGGACGGAGGCATGATGGGAAAAACACAGAAGCTGTTTATCTGTGGAGGGACCCAGGGCAGAGGCGGAGTCTGAACCAGCAGACAACTGCCTCCAGCGTCAGTATATATGTGTCAGTGTGTGTGTGAGAGGCTCCTTCATACCTCTGAAATATTCCCACACCCCCGTCTGCTTTTATAGCAGCTTGTTTGGCAGTTAGGGTGCCTCCCCAGGAGGAATGGGTGATGTGTACGGGACCGAATGTGGACCGCGACTTGTGTTCACAAGGCTGCTGAAATCCGGCCCAATGGCTGTAGCTGCTCATAGCACAGCCCTTTGGGGGCGTTTGGCTGTGTCATTAACATACAGAAACTGTGGTGTGGGACCGCAGCTGTAAGGGAACCTAAATGCAGTGTGGAGCTGAACCACGTGGACCGGAACCACACACATGTCCCAAACAGACAGGCCTCAGCTGGGACATGAAGACAGAGGCTCGGCATCATCATAGTGTGTGTGTGTTGGGGGGGGGGGGCGCTAAAGGGCGTAACCTCACTTGGCAGGAGTATCTTGCCAGATTTAAATTAGTCACATATTAAAGAGCTGTCCAGTGCATGGGGCCGCTTCTGTGGGAACACAGCAGGCAGGAGAGGAAACACACACTGTAATCACACACACACACACACACACTGTAATCGCACATTCACACTATAATCACACACACACACAGACACACACTGTAATCACACACACACACACACTGTAATCGCACATTCACACTATAATTACACACACAGACACACACTACAATCACACAGACACACAGACACACACGGTAATCACAGACACTCACACTGTAATCACACGCACACTCACCCTGTAAAAACTCACACACACTGTAATCATACACACGCACACGCTGTAATCACACAGACACATATGCTGTAATCACACACACACGCTGTAATCACACACACACACACACTGTAATCACACAGACACTGCAATCACACACACACACTGTAATCACACACACACTCACCCTGTAATCACTCATACACACACTGTAATCACACACACTCACATGCTGTAATCACACAGACTCACACTGCAATCACACAGACAAACACACACACAAACTGTGATCACAGACACACACCTCACATCAAGTGGTGCGGGTTTTAACCAGAGATTAAAGGACACCCCCTCCCCACTGAATTCACACTGCCAGTAACAGAGCACATCATTCACGTGTGAGGGTGTCGGACTTTTTGGCACTAGCGGACAGCGCGTGCATATCTTCCCCGGAACAGAGAGCTGCGCGGCCGAGGGGCCACAAAACAAGGAGCTGGGATTGTGCTCGGGGTGGGGGGGGGGAGACGGGGGCC